CCCCAAAACCCCAAAACCCCAAAACCCCAATTTTGATATAAATAATTGAACAAATATAATGAAGGATATCATTGATGCATTTGATTGACCTCTTAAGCCTATATTTACCCCATCCAAAAAGGCAGATGCTGGGTAAGCCTCAGTTAATGTATTTATAGAACCCAGTATAAAATTGATCACTCTCCAGTAATTTTTAGAACAGTAAAGCAAAGGAGAATGTCTGTTAATTCTAAGTAATTTGTCTTTAATACATTCAAGACCAGTTAGGAAGAAATCTCGAAATCAATCTAAACGTGATAGAATAAAATCCATGCTTGAGGAAAAGTAAGAGATAGGTCTAGCCTATTCTATAGAACAAGATATCTTAATGTTAAGTATATGACCAAGAACAAAGTAAGCTTCATTAATTAATTCTTAGATGAATCTTAGAGGCAAGAATAAACCATCGAACAATAAGAAAGGATCCAAAGTGAAGACCAATCTAGATCTGAAGCTATCTTCTCCTTCTATTAATTTTTACCCTAAAAAGTCAGGAATGGGCTGAGATCTATCAGTACGAAAGACTTATTACCTTTAGACAAAAGAGTTTGGAACAGTTAGGTTTCTTAATGTGAAGTAAAATCTATCAAAACTATTTTAGAATCAAGAAAAATACCAAGAAATCAAGTGATAATGTATTTAAATCCAATAATCAGCTCCTTAATGATTTATTTTAGGCAATTAATCAAAAGAGCAATCATTTTACAAATAATATCCCTCTGAAAATGAATCCATCAGAGTCGGGTATTCATGCTTCTCTTTTAAGTATCCAAAATCAAAACTCCAACTTTAAAGTTCAGTATAAATTCTAATAATTTAGGCTGACCATAAAGGTTAAATTTGTGTATGAGATATATAGAGCTAAATAAAAGAAGAAATTCTAATAAAATGATAGGCAAAGATAGCAACGCTACATCTCAGATTAATCTACCAGATTTTCCTTCACGAAGACCAAGATCAAATTTTTCGCTAAATAGAAAACTCTGAAGTAAGTTAACCCCCCGATATCATAGATACTAACAAAGAAAGCCAAAACAAATTTATAATTCAAACTCCAAAACTGATTGGTCCTTCAACTGCGTCAAACAAGCTTAGTATGAAAAAGAACCATTCGAAGCAGATATCAAAATTAAAGAAAAGGAAAAGCTCAAAAATTCTCAACAAGAATCGTAGATATTCAATGAGCTCTTCAATTATTATAGTACCTAAAACTCATGTTTAACAGGTCATTAACTTCTCCCTAACCCGACATTTACTTCAAATAAAAGTCTTTCTCCTATAAAATACTCAAAATTCACCAAAATAGAGTCTTCTCCCAGAACACCCTCACTCTATCCCAAAATATCCCAAACCCTTCACCTCCTTCAACCCCAAAACCCCAAAACCCATCCCTCCAGTACAAATCCCTAAAATTCCCTCTAAACCCCAAAGCACAATCCCCATTCCCAATTACCAACTATAAAAATCCTCTCCAAACAAAAGTCTGCTTCACAAGCCTGCCAACATTCCTGAGAGGGTACTCAATTTTACGTATAAATTAGTTGCTTTTTGAGGTATGGCTTAGGTGGAAATAAGATTGAAATGGAGAGGTTTTGGGGATGTGGGTGTAGAGAGTTTTAGAGGGGTGAGAGGGGGTTGTTTGGGGTATTGTTGGGAGAAGGGGGATAGTGGAAGGGTGGAATTTAGATAATGGTTTTGGGAAATATTTTTATTGGGATCTAGGGAGGGATCTTTTGAGGAGTTATTAGTTCTTTGAATTTATAATAAATCTTAATTATGATTTTTTTGAGATAGGGGTTTTGGGGTTTTGGGGTTTTGGGG